TGACCTTTTACTTTTTTTACTTTTTTTAACAATGACAAGCTAAAAGCTGTATTGAAGTAAGAGAGTAACAAGGCTATGACAATCAGCTGAAAAATAATGATTCCAGTACAAATCCCCAAAGTTTCTAGCTTTAAGTAAATTAATGAAGTATTTTTACTATGTTTTACCTGTGGTGGCCATTTTGAACAGGGGTAACTCCAGAGGTTAATGATTTAAACGTGTCCAGTGATCCATGAGATGTTGGCAACAAATCTCAGCTACAAGCAAACCACACGTTAGGCCTAAYTCTGAAAACATGGCTGAGCTGTAACCATTTATGTTTCCAGCATGTTTGTCATCTTGAATGTAGTTGACTTCAAAAGTTMTTCAGTCGAAGAGGTATAACGAACACTTTCTGAGAGGTGTCCACTTGTTCTTGAGATAGACAAGCCAACAACACACATAGACAAAAACATTATCGTCTTTCCCATTTGAAATTTTAAGCTGTTTTGAAAAAGGGAGTGTGAGAAGGTTTCAGGTGCTGAAATCTCTCCACATGTTGCTTGATTTTCTTTGTTTGGCTCAGTTTGTAAGGAAACGTGCTGCGATTCTAGTTTCTTTTCGAAGTCTGGTTAACTAAGCCACAGTCAACTGTACAAAACCTTGATAGGACGATATTGTTATATTTGCAGAAGTGAAAAGCTCAGGCGCCATCACGCTTCCTTACATACTGTAGACACTGACCAGAAACACAAATCGTTTGTTAAAACCATGTATTCGACTGCACACAGTTCCTGCTGCTGCTAGGAAGAATGAATGGAGTTGTCTGTGATTTGAGTTTGGGCGTGAGCTGCAGATCATGTGATGAGGGCAGGCAGCAGCACAATCATGTCATGAGTCATGAACGAAGATCTTCTCAGACATACCAGGTGTTACTCAACATCCAACATGCCTCTCATTCTTTCAGATCACATCTCTGAGCCAAAGGTGATCAAATTAAAGAAAAAGAAAAACTATGGGAGATATGTGTTTATTTTCTGAATACAGATTGATTCCATATGTGTAAATGAAATGTTTATGATTAGTTAATTAATTCTAGCTGTCATTACATGTAAAAATGTGCTCCATGTCTGTGCAAATAGTTAGAAACATAATCTGAATATGATGAAATCATTTATTTGGATTTGTTCCAAACTTCAAATAATGTTTTGTATAATAATGCCATGTTTCTGCTATTAGAGTGAAAAAAAACTGAAACAGGTCAAACATAAACTGGGTGTTATTCAGAATCTGTCTTAAAAAAGGTTTCAAGTAAACTAAATGTATTTCTACATAATGTCCACTAGATGTCACTGTGTCATAAAAATGTCTGCTATGATGACTGCTGAAGGAACCAAATTTATTTTATTTTACTTTTATTTTACTTTATTTTATTTTTCGTAAATATT